GTACTTGAGTTTGAGCCAAGCAGTAGATTCTCCTTCTTAATCTCTCGAATCATTATAAAGTGGAGTGATTATCTAAGAAAATCATTAGAGTTATATTTTTTAATCTTATTCTAAAACAATATCAATTGAATATTATAATAATAGATATAAATAAGATAAAAAAAAGGAAAGATTATTCTCTTTAGAGACTATGAGTTCAAACAACTGTATCTACAATGTGTGTTCGTTATCAACAGATTAAAAATATTCTGAACAGATACTACCTTGTTAACAATCACCCCAAAATGTTCAAAAAATTAAGATCAAGCCAACAATCAATCACAACAATCAGAAATGAATATATATTACGTAAATAACTCGTTAATCTTGGATAAAACTCAATTATATAAATAACAATTTAGAACATGGTGAAATTTCAATAATTGAATCTAAAGAATACACCGAGTAACTTTAGTGGTTAAACAGAGTGTTATTTTTCTTAGATGTCTTAGATTTGAGTAGTTAGATTTATAAGGGACGCGTGCATTGTTAATGTCTAAAAAAGTTTATCAACATATACTATTCTTATAATCACACCTCGACTATTTTACAATTAGACATTTTCTGTTGATCATTATCTTCAACAAACACTCTTAGTAATTTCAAGAACCTTGGGTTGATTCCTTATTCTAATCTCGCCCATTAGTGTTTCTATGTAAGATGATCTATTAGTATTAGAGATGGAAACCTCGGGTTCGGGTCGGGTAACCCACTCAACCGAAAATCTACATCCTCCACCCGAATCCGACCTATTTTACAAGACATTTTCTGTTGATCATTATCTTCAACAAACACTCTTAGTAATTTCAAGAACCTTGGGTTGATTCCTTATTCTAATCTCGCCCATTAGTGTTTCTATGTAAGATGATCTATTAGTATTAGAGATGGAAACCTCTCGGGTTCGGGTCGGGTAACCCACTCAACCCGAAAATCTACATCCTCCACCCGAATCCGACCCAACCCCGAAAATTTTATATCTTTCACCCGACCTGAAAAATATATACTCTTCACTCGACTCTGACTAGACCCGATTTTTTAAAGTATAAATTTGACCTAACTCGATATAAAATAATGACTTAATTAAAATAATAACAAAATTTTTAAGGAAAATACATTTATCCTCGGGTCGAGTCGAGTCAAAGTTTTTTAACCTTCCACTCAAACCCGACCTGACCCTGTAACACCCCAAAACCTATGTCGGTATTTTGGCTTAACCGAGACCCATTTTTAGAGCTCAAAGGAATTATTAAAATAGCTTGGACCAAGTTTTGGGGAATTTGAGCCTAAATTGGGCCCAAAATAATTATAAAGGTTGATGATAATTTTATGAATTAGAAAGTACAAGGACTAAAAGTGCAAATTTCCCATTTTTATTTGAAAGTTGAAATTTTCCCCTTATTTTATGATTTTTACATGAACTTACTCCCCCAAATATCCCACCAAACTTCCTTCCATCATTTTCTCTCCCTCTTCCTTTCTAAGATCAAGTTGTTCAAGCACTTCGATTCTAGTTGGATAAGTCAAGGTAACTTTATGAATCACCATCCTTCAAGCTTCAAATCAAGCTCCATATTGCAATTTTTTTAACCATAGCTTCCAAAATGAGTTTTGTGGGGTTTATAAGAATTTATGGATTTTTATATCTTTTTTGGTAGATTTGAGTTATATGGGGTGTATTTAATTTGTTTTGAGCATCTAGTTGAGTTAGTAATTTATTTTTTTTATCTTGTTTGTGGGGTTTATAAGAATTTATGGATTTTTATATCTTTTTTGGTAGATTTGAGTTATATGGGGTGTATTTAATTTGTTTTGAGCATCTAGTTGAGTTAGTAATTTATTTTTTTTATCTTGTTTAGTAAAAGATGTAGGAGAGAGTTTCAAAGTTAAGGGAAAAATCCTCGATAGCAAAAATACGGCGCACGATAGTGGCTTTTCATTGGGTGCACGTTAGCAGGTCTAACGGATTCCAAGAACCCATCGTGCCTTCGGTGGACTTCATCCTTTTGTTTACTATTCCTAAGTTACCAGTGGTCATCTTTTTCCTGAATCCTCTTTCAAGTCTCAGTTCTCTACTCCACACTTCAATTGATTGATGGACTGGAGAAAGCTATTCGGGAGTTCCTTTAGCCAAACCCTAAATTACTACCCACCAAAAGTTAAAGACGAAATCACTCTGATAAACCCCCCCTCGCTGACATACTAAAAGCTGGTATTTCAGAATGGAGGTTATCACTTGTGGGACAATTCCTGGGTCTGGCCCCAAATTTCACAACGATGCAGCGAATTGTTGATACTTTATGGACAAAGCCTCTGCAAGGCTCTCGTGTACAGGTCAGTTTAGTTGGATCTAATTTGTACATTTTTACCTTTGTTTCTGAATCTGCTGAGAGAGTGGGTGCTTGAAAATTGCCCCTAGCATATCCTTAACAAGCCCCTTATTCTGAGAAAATGGGAACCAAGCTTAAAACGTCTTCACTTTGATCTTTCTAAAATCCTGATTTGGGTACACTTGTATAATGTTCCTCCAGAACTTTTCACTCAGGTAGGATTAAGTTATTTAGCTAGTGGCATAGGGAATCCAATTTCTATGGATTTAGTTACAGCTTCTAAGACCAGGCTTGAATTCGTAAAGATTTGCGTGGAAATCTGAGTTAATGAATAAATTCCTAAAGCACTGGATGTTGTCCTTAATGATGGTTTAACTACATCAGTTCATGTTGAGGTACCATGGTTGCCTCCTAGATGTAGGAATTGTAAGGTTTTTGGTCACAACGACAAAAATTGCTTGGTGAAACCTCTTCCAAAACCTGCATCAAATCAGGTCTGGAAGAAAAAAGATGTCTCAATTCCTAGTTCCTCTCATAGAAATTCTGAGATTCTACAGAATCCTGACTCTCCCAAATCTCTTCCTAAAGAAGTTCTTCAATATACTGATAATCAGTCTGACCTTATTTGCTCTGAACCTATCGAATTGCCCACTGATACTTCATTTCCAAATCCTTTTCCTACCCAAAATCTTCAAGTGAAGGAAGCTAACTCTGATCAAAACTGTACTAACCTCAAAGAAAAGCAACATGTCCCAATTGCTGAAAGTTAGCCAACCTCTTCTGACATATCTGCTACGGTTGAAGTTGGTTCCTCTTCCCTTCATAAATGTGGCAGAGGAAGACCTCCCAAAGAAAACTTGTTTTTTCTGGATCTAAGAATTGTTTTGAACTCCTAAATTTGATTGATGAAACCCCTTCAACACAGGAAGTTCCTCAAAGGAAAAACAAAGTTGATTCAAAGGGAGTTGTTGAACTGGTGAAAGATCTAAAACAGAAAAAGAAAGAAAAACTGGACAAGATAAAAAGTTATATTGTAGAGGGAGAATGAGCCTCTTTGGAACCTAACCTTCAATGATAGTAAGTTTCTGGAACATAAGCAAAATAAGGTGTTTCTCAGGGTATCACAGAACAATGTTGACATTCTTTGCTTGTTAGAGACTAGAGTTAAAGCAGAAAAATCCAAAGCCATCTTTGATTCTTTATTAGCAAACTGGAATATTAGTTCTAACTATGATTATACCATCAATGGGAGAATTTGGATCCTATGGAAGAAAATTTTAGATTTATATATTCTACAAGTTTCTGATCAGATTATCTCTGCCAAAGGAAAGTACAATGGAAAGCCTTTTGTTTTATCGACAGTCTATGGCAGCAATGACAATATCACTCGCAGACAACTTTGGCAAAATATTCATGATTTGGAAAGAAATATTGGTCACCTCCCTTGGATTCTTGGAGGAGATTTTGACATCACTCTTCTTCCTAAAGAAAGTTCAGATTATGAGCTTTTCTGTCATTCCTCTTCTCCTGAAATGCAAGAGTTCCAGGATGTTACTCAGACTCTGGACCTTCATGATCATCCTTTTATAAGACCTCTCTTTACTTGAAGCAACAAACAAGCTGGATCCTATCTTGCAAGAAAGCTTGACCGAGTCCTCACTAATTCAAATTGGATTAATACATTTCAAAACTCTCTTGTTGAATTCCTTCCCCTAGGAGTGTCTGGTCACTTTATGGCAATAGTTTGGTTTTCAAAAGATACCCCCACCAACAGACCCAAGCCATTTAAGTTCTTCAATTTCTGGACTTTGCATCCAAGCTTCTTGAGAGAGATTGAACAATCTTGGAAGGTCTCTTTTTTTTCCAAATAAATTAAAGTTATTTTTTTTCTCTTTTTTTTCAAAAAGCAAAGGTACAATGGATCCAGGATTAAGTTATTTAGCTATTGGGTACACTCATAATATATTGAACAATTTGGATAATTTATTTCAAATAAATTAAAGTTATTTTTTTCAAATTAAATAAAGTTTTTTTTTTCATTCTAAACTCAAATAGAGTCGAACTTTTGAGACCAGCCTCCGTAGAGTGTCTTTACAAGTAAGTCAATATGCCTCGAAATCTTGTGATGTTCGCTTCAATAATATGATCTGCAATCCAGTTTCCATTGAATCTTTGTACAGCTTCAGCTCTCTATCCAAATGAAAGCCAAACTTGTTACGGGGAATAAAAATGTGAATGGAAATATCCTCTGCACCATCTTCATTTTATTCTTCGAACTGCATTGTTGACGGCCAAAGTGTAGACTTCACCTTCCCAAGAGAAGCGATCTCCACCTCCCAACTACCATTGCTACCCGATCAATATCTATTACCATTTATGATTTGTTCATTTTAGTTCAATAAATTGTTTTTTTTTTGTTTAAATTCACCGTACAAATAATAATGGTCGGGTAAGTACAAGACACTGTGGGTTCAAAGAACAGATAACTTTCGATCATTTAACATTAAACTTTCACACTCAGATAATCCCGCTCAAACTCGAGACTTCAAGAAATAACAATAATTCTTCTACCAGAGTCACTTAGTTCGTGCATTGAATTTAGCTTTGATTGTAATGAATTCAATACTTTCTAATCCCGGTTGTAGCCTGAAATTGTTAAACCCCCAACAAACAACCTTTCCATCAGTCCTAAAACGCAACTTCGATTCAATCCGAAAGCCGGTTCTTTGAACTGTCCCTTAGGCTGATCACCCGTAGTGTTTCTGCTTCCCCAACACTATACCATCATCTGAATTGATGGCACAAACATGGCTAAATCCAGGAGCAAGCATACTATAATTCCCACTAATTTCTTGACCAGTGATGCCAGTACAGTTCCCAAGGAATCTGATCTTATTTTGATCTTCTGTTAACCCATATGAAAATCCTTCACCAACAGCTATATCGGAAAATTTTTGCCCTCCATCTGTTTGATTAAACCCAGGCCATTGCCAACATTCAAGACCGTTGGTCTCATTAGGGCCACAAATATGAGTGTTGCCTGCTTCAAGCTGGTTAAGAACTGAACCTCATTAAGTTTAAAAAGGAGCCATTGCTGGAAGATCTCCAGCAAAGCATGACAGATACATTGGATGCTGAAAAAAGTGGTCTCAAACCACATACGAATCCATCCCCAGAGACAATCCTAGAAAACGAGTCGCTGGAATCAAAAGGGTTTTCGTAAGGTTCGAAGTTTCAGAGATGGAAACATTGGATAGAGACGAGCTGAAACAAGCAACACAGAAATGAAAAAATATCAAGAGAGAAAAGTGATGCATGGTTTCAGAACCGGACCGGTTAGCGAACCGGCTATATTATCGATTCACTGGTTTAATCGATCGAATCAGTTTGATCGGTCGGAATAACCGGACGACGTCATAATTATTTAAAAAATTAAATAACAATACCAAAAATATTTAATAAAAAATAATTTTTTATATCACAAGTCATATTCAAAGCAAGTCATAATATACATAAGTTAAAAACCATAAAATCAAGTGAAACAAAATGATTCAAATTAACTACAACATAATATTTAAGGTAAAACATATTAAATAATAAATATAATTATATAACTATAATTAAAAATAAATTTGGGGCTAAAAAAATCATAACAAAATGATATTGTTTGGTTTAATTTTTTTTTAAAAACAATCCCACATGGTTAAGAAACATAGAAACGCATCCCAAAAGTCTAAAGAGTAAAAATATGAGAACAAAACAATCTTACATGGCTAAGAAACATAGAAGAGCATCCCAACTAACTTTTATAAATAATAGAGGTAATTTGACATTCAAAATCATGGAACCTTTTGGTGAGCATTGAGTGAACTATTCTTTCACTTCAATCAAACTCGAATTTTAGGTTTTAATCGAGCTTCTAAATTTTTTTTGAGTTCAAACTTTTTCGAGTTCAAGTTTCAATATTATATTTCGAGTTCGAGTTGAACTTGATAATTTTTAGCTCGTGAGTTTGAGTCGAGTTGAGCTTACTTTTAAAGTTTTCAAGTTCGAGTTGAGTTCATCAATACTGGAGTTCGACTTGGCTCGTTTAACAAACGACGTCGTTTTGGTTTATTTATTTATTTTTAAAAAACAAAATTGGCGGGTTTTTCCGGTTTTCAGCTGGTCCGGTTCGAACAGTTCAGTAGTTCTGGCCAGTTCACTAATAGCGGTTCAATCGATGTAGATTGAATAGGACTAGACAGCGATTCTCGATTGAACCGATTAAACCGATTAAACCGACCGATCCGATCCGATTTTTAAAACACTGAAGTGATAGGATTTACAAAAGAAAGAACTCATGGAAAATATTTTGAGAATAATTTGATGGAGGATTTCGAAAATACAGAGATTTTATGGGTATAAAAGGGTGAAGGAAACTTAAACGAGGCCGCACGGTTTGAGGAGCTTCTGAATGTGGACAGGAGACCTGGTCTTTTTAAGGAGCGAGTTTGTCAGGAAAGGTAATTCAAATTTTTATGGGTAAAGTATACAAATTGTCCTTATCATAGATTTATGTTTTATTAAGTTATCTGATTATTAAAAATTATAAATAATTCTTTAATTTTAAGGCGTTGTTTTGTTGAATTTTTTGTCTATTAAAATTTACAAAATTGTCATTTGACTATTCGTATATTTTTTAAACTTGTCTTTTTACGTTAAAAATTTTACAACCATTTGAGCTGCATGTCGAACTAGTGCTTGAAATAATATGTTGTTGAGTCAGTTCTTAAAAGCTATGGTGGTGCCATTAGAAATCATTAAAATATAATTTTACCAAATCCTAATAAATATGTTGACGTTTAGTTTAGACGACTGTCAATTTTTAGCAAAAAATGACGAGTTTGGTACATATGCAGGTGATGATTTTGCAATTTTTAATTGTCGAGTGAGGCAGAAAATGACATCCTATAGTTAGGAGATTATCTTGTAAATTTTAATAATCGATGAACTTAATAATTTTTTATGGGTAAAGTATACAAATTGTCCTTGGATAATAGATCTTTGCTTTATTAAGTTATCAAACTACTAAAAGTTATAAATAATCATTTGATTTTAAGGCGTTGTTTTGTTGAATCTTATTACTATTAAAAGTTACAAAATGATCATTTGAATGTTCATATATTTTAAACTCGTCTTTTTACGTTAAAATTTTACGACCATTTGAGCTATATGTCGAACTAGTGCTTGAAAATAATATGTCGTTGAGTCAGTTCCTAAAAGTTACGGTGGTGCCACTAGAAATCATTAAAATATAATTTCACCAAATCCTAATAAACATGTTAACGTTTAGCTTAGACGACTACCAATTTTTAACAAAAAAAGACAAGTTTAGAACATATGCAGGTACTGATTTTGCAATTTTTAATTGTCGAGTGAGGCACAAAATGACATCTTATAATTAGGAGAATATCTTGTAACTTTTAATAATCGATGGACTTAACAAAGCAATGTCCTATAGTCAACGTCCATTTATGCACTTTATCGAATTTTTATTTGGATTATAATAATATTTTGGTTTAATATTTTATTTATTAGAATATTTAATTAAAAACACTAATTATTGTATTTTTATTATTTAAATTTAGGATAAATTACTAGATTAGTTACTTTTCTTTCATATTTGTACTTTTTATTCATTAAATTCAAATTTTTAAATTTTGATCACTTACGTTATTGATTAAATAAATTTTTGTCACTTAAATTATCAATTGTTATATTTTGATTATTGAGTCATTAACTTCCTTTAGTTTGATGATGTTAGTCAAAAGGGGTATTTTTTTTAATTTTACCCTTGAACTTTAGAATTAGACTTTGAAGTTTAGATGAATTATCATTTAGACCCTTAAACTTTAAATAAAATATATATTTGATCTTTGAATTCGATTAAAGTCTTTTGTCGCGACCAACACTCACCTTTGTCATTGTCGATCACCGTCAGTTGATAATAGTCGTCATCACTATCGACTGTTACACTATAAAATTTGATGGCGTTTGAGGACTGGATCATGAGTAATATCCAGGAGAATGGGGATTATATGGGGAACCAAAAGGACTGGGATGTGCTCTTTGGAGCTCTTTTATGGTGCTTATGGAATCGTCAGAATAAGCTTATCTTTGAACCGGAAAGCACATTCTTTGATAGCGTTTTACATGCAGGTAAACGTATGCAAGCGGAAACTATAAGGGCGAATACAATGAGGGTGACGAGATTCGTTCACGCTATTGCTCCGACTAATAGGAATGTAAAGTGGATGCCTCCCCCGGTGGGTTATAGTAAACTCAACACTGACGGTTCCTATAAAGCGAACTGTGGAAGGGCTGCTTGTGGCGGCCTTGTTCGAGACCACTAATGAGGATGTGTAATCGGGTTTTCCAAACAAATTGGTCGTTATTCCGTTTTGGAGTCTGAGCTATGGGGGGTCTATGAAGGTCTTCGCATGGCGTGGGAGTTCGGAATATGGAAGTTGTGGGTTGAAGTAGATAGCAAGGAGGCTCTAGCGGCGGTAAATTGAGATCCGAGGTACTATGGTGTTTCTTCCCTTGGCCCTCACATTTACGAGCTATTGACAAGATATTCGGATTTGGAGTTTAGATTCGTGCCTTATGAAGGTAATATAGCAGCCGATTGCTTCGCGAGATTGGCATGGAACCATGCTGGAGGTATTCAAGTGTTCCATGTTGGAAATTAAACGCTCACACAAATAACTTTCATTGAAACTCAAACAAATATTATAAGAGCACTCTCACTCAAAAACAATATACTACAACTCACTTTTATAAGACTTTGCTTCTTCACTCACTTAGAAACTCTTAATTTTTCTTGATGCTTAAACTAAAATGGGAATGGGTATTTATACTACTTAAGAACAATCCTATACCACACAAATAAATTAATTTAAACCATTAAAAATAGACAAATACCTAACTCTCACCTAACTCTTCACCTAACTAAATTGATGTAAGCAATGACATCAATTTAGTTTGGGTTTGGGTTTAGGCTCCCATAATAGATCAAGTTTATGATCCAACACCCCCTTAAACATGATCTTGTGACCCCTAGTAAGTTCCTTAATCTTATGAAGTTTTCGATGGTCAGTGGCTTGGTAAAAATATCGGCAACTTGATCTTGTGACTTCACGTATTCAACTTCCACATCGTTTCTTGCAACACACTCCCTTATATAGTGGTAGCGAATATCGATGTGCTTGTTTCGATCATGGAATACTGGATTCTTTGCTAAGATAATGGTTGACTTGTTGTCGACACAAACCTTGGTAATCTCTTCTTGTAACAAACCTATCTCCTTCAATAGATTTCTAAGCCAAATCTCATGACAAACGCATGAGGTAACATCAACATATTCCGCTTCATAAGTGGACAATGTGACAATCAGTTGTTTCTTTGACATCCATGTGAAAGCATTATCTCCCATGAAAAATACGAATCCAGTAGCGCTCTTTCGATTATCTATGTCTCCACCCCAATCACTATCGCTATATCCAACAAGCTTGTAATCAATAGAAACTGAAAAGAGCAAGCCAAAGTCAATTGTACCTTTAAGATAGCGAAGAATTCTCTTTGTAGCTTTAAAATGGGTGGTTGTTGGAGATTCCATGTAGTGACTAACCAATCCAACTGCGTGAAGAATATCAGGCCTCGTGCAAGTTAGATAGCGTAGATTTCCCACCAAACTTTTTGAATAATGTTGGATCTACACTTTCGCCTTCTTCATGTTTGGACATCTTGATCCCATATTCTGTCTGTGTGCTTATTGGCTTACAGTTCTCCATCTTGAACTTCTTCAGGATCTCATTTGCATAGCTTTCATGTGAAATGAAAATTCCATCATTTTGTTCTTTAACTTCAATGCCAAGGTAGTACGTCATGAGCCCCATGTCTATCATCTCAAATTCTTTCATCATCACATCATTGAATTCGTTAAACATGCTTGGGTTGCTTCCGGTGAAGATCAAATTGTCCACATAGAGGCACACGATCAAAATATCTCCATCTTTGATCTTGATATATAGAGCGTGCTCGTAGGGAAATTTGCTGAAGTCATTCTCTTGGAAATACTTGTCAATTTGACTATTTCATGCCCTTGGTGCTTGTTTTAGCCTGTAAAGAGCCTTCTTCAACTTAAACACCTTGTCTTCGTACCCTTTGACTTCATAGCCTGATGGTTGCTGAATGTAAACTTCCTCTTCAAGAACTCCATTTAAGAAGGCAAACTTTACATCCATCTGATGTACCTTCCACTTGTTTTGAGCTGCCAAAGAAATTATTAGTCTGATAGTCTCCAATCGAGCAACAGGAGCAAATACCTCATCATAGTCAATTCAATCCTTTTGACTATAGCCTTTAGCAACTAGTTTCACCTTGTGCCTTTCAATCTCTCCTTTGGCGTTTTTCTTTGTTTTGTACACCCATTTGACACCTATCGCCTTATGTTCCTTGGGAAGTGAGGTAAGTTCCCATGTGTCATTCTTCTCGATGGCCTTGATTTCTTCATCCATCGCATCTCTCCATTTCTTTTCTTGTACTGCTTCTTGAAAGCTCACTGGTTCACAATCGACAAACAGACAAAATAATGTAAGATTATCTTTTCTTTTATTTACCTCATAGAGATCTCTAAGGCTTCTAATACGTTGCATAACTATTTCACTTTGACTCTCATTTGACGATGACGAAGGTGATGAGTCTCCTTGAGTGGTTGATGTTGGTGAAGTGGGTGGAGTTTCAAGCTCTTGTTGAGGTTCACCTAGTTGTTCCCTCATTGTTTTCTCATCTTCTTCAAACTGAGGAAATAAATTTAAGTCATCTGTATGAGAGTTAAAATCCCATTCTCCTTCTTCGTTGAAGACTACATCTCGACTAATCATTATCTTCTTATTTTCTGGATTATACAGCTTGTTGCCTTTCAAATTAGCATCATAACCGATGAAGATAAAACTCTCGCTTTTATCATCAAGCTTCATTTTTCTCTCGTCTGGTACGTGAACATGGGTTATACTTCCAAAGATTCTCAAGTGGGAAATACCAAACTTTCTTGCACTCCATGCCTCTTGCGGTGTCTTTCTTCATACACTTTTTGTTGGAAATCGGTTTGTCAAGTAGACTACACACGCTACTGCTTCCGGCCAAAATTTCTTGGGTAATTTCTTGCTTTTGAGCATGCTTCGTGCCATATAGAGGATTGTTATGTTCTTTCTTTCTGCCACACCATTTTGCTGGGGATCTAGGAACTGTCATTGGTCGAAGAAATTCATTTGCTTCACATAACTCTTGAAACTCTCTGGAAGTAAATTCTCCACCTCGTTCGGATCTCATGACTTTGATATTTCTACCGCTTTCTCTCTCCACTGTTGCTTTGAACTTCTCGAAGACTTTAAAAACTTATGACTTATGTTTCAAGAAATACACCCATGTTTTTCTTGAAAAATATCAATGAAGAGAATAAAATAGTTATTGTTACCGAGAGAGATTGGCTTGATCGGTTCACACACATCGATATAGATGAGCTCGAGTGGCTTCTTGGCTCTGACTCCTTTGAAAAGCTTTTCCTGAATTGTTTCCCGACTAGACACCCTTCACAAAGCTAGTCAGGATAATTGATGCGAGGTAGTCCCTTCACCATCTCCTTTTTAGATAGCAGCTCTAGACCTCCAAAATTGAGATACCCAAATCGAAGATGCCAAAGTCATGATGCATCTTTGTAGCAAACTTTCAGGCACTTTGCAACATCATTTTGTATGTTGATCAAGAACATTCTATTCTTTGACATCGGCATTTTAGAAATTAAGTTATTCTTATCATATTTTATAGAAAGATTATAATTATTCATATGAATATCATAACATTTCTCTACCAGTTAACCTAAACTTAAGATGTTACTTTTCATATTGGGCACATAGTAGACATTTTAAATAAATTGATGTCTCCCATCTTTCAAACAGATAAGGATGTTACATCTCCCTTTCACTGCTATTGTGGAATCATCTCCAAATAAAATATTTCTGCTTACTGACTCGTCTAGCTCCACGAATATGTATTTCCTTCCACACATGTGATTGCTTGCACCACTGTTAAGATACCAGGAATTTGCTTGGCCACCATCAGTTTCCTTTCGTGATAGAAGAAGAGTTTCTTTGCCATCTGTCTTTCCCTCCACATAGTTTTTATTCTCCTCAATTTTGTTATTGGGAGCTCTACATTCTGAAGCATAATGCCCAAACTTCTAACAATTATAACATCGAACTTGAGATTTGTCATACTTTGAGTTCGGATTGATTCTTCCACGGCCTCGTGTTGAGTTTTCTCCTTTTTTCATAGTTGTTGTTGGAATTGTTATTGTTGTAATTCCAGCCTCGTCCATGACCGCGACTTCCACTTCGTCCATGTCTTCTACCTCTGCCTAGGCCACGTTGGTTTCTAGCATTGCGTTGGCTTTCATGCATATCCTTGAGTAACATGTTTGAGGAGTTGCTCAATAAACCCATGCTTCTTTTTATGCTTCTCTTCGTATGCTTGCAATGATCCTTGGAGTTGCTCGATTGTCATTTCTTCCAAGTCTTTAGTTTCTTCAATCGTCACGACGATGTGCTCAAATTTGGGATCCAACGAACGGAGTATCTTCTCTATTATCCTCACATCTTCTAACTTTTCACCATTTTGTTTTAATTGATTAGAAACAACTACTACTCTTGAGAAATAATCTAAAATAGACTCAAATTCTTTCATGTGTAAGGATTCAAATTTACCTCTTAATGTTTGGAGATGAACCTTCTTCACTTGCTCGGATATTTTGTAAGAGGTTTGTAGCTTCTCCCACGCTTCCTTGTTAGAGCTTGCACTCGAAATCTTTTTATAACCATCATCATCTAATGCTTGATAGATGAGGTAGAGAGTGTTCTTGTCTCTCTTTCTTGAATCATTCAAAGTTGTCTTTTGATCTGGTGTAAGAGTAGCAAAAACATCATCATCCGCAGGTTCGTTATAGCCTTTCTATGTGATATCCCACACATCTTGTTATCCAAGAAGTGTCTTCATTTTGATACTCTAATTGTCGTAGTTGTTGTTATTGAGTGTCGGAACTTGGAATGGTGCCATATTATTTGCCATATCTCTCAATATAATGAGAATTTGTAAAATCCAATTGCACGGATGAATCCGGAATGCCGAAAAACCTTGGGAGGGACTTGGATAATTCAGTCAAGGTGCTCCAACTCGGATGACTCGGCTCAACTCGGATGACTCGGCTCAACTCGGTGAGTCAACTCGATTTTCTGACAGTAGTCTTCCGACGGTGCATCGCGGGGCGTCAGAACTCGGATTAGGAAGATTTTGGCGGCTGCGGATTCCTCTCGTCGAGACCTTCGATCTTTCCAACTCGCTCTAATACCACTTTGTTGGAAATTAAACGCTCACGCAAACAACTTTTATTGAAACTCAAACAAATATTATAAGAGCACTCTCACTCAAAAACAAGATACTACGACTCACTCTTATAAGACTTTGCTTCTTCACTCACTTAGAAACTATTAATTTTTCTTGATGCTTAAACTAAAATGGAGAGAGAAATTTATACTACTTAAGAACAATCCTACACCACACAAATAAACTAATTTAAACCATTAAAAAAATAGACAAGTACCTAACTCTCACCTAACTCTTCACCTAACTAAATTGATGTAAGCAATGACATCAATTTAGTTTGGGTTTGGGTTTAGGCTCTCATAATGGACCAATTTTATGATCTAACATTCCAGAGCCTCCCGTCCGACATTGAGAGTGTTGTTAACTTGGAGGCCTGCACGCATTGAAGGTGCACGGTGAAAGCTAGTCTGTTTTGTTAAGTTTGTTCCCCTTCACATTCAAAAAAAATTTACAATTCACTCATATTTGACATTATGTATACTAATCTAGTATTGGGTTCATAAAAAAAATCATGAACCCAACAAATCTAGCCTAGAACCCTTTAACTTTCTTTAAAATTAAATCATATTAATAATGTTAGTATTAATATTTTTTAAAAAAATAAAGAAATTAAAAATCTAAATTTATATATTTTTTTATTTATAATATTATTGTGTTATTTTTTGTTATGTTTGTAATATTTATTATAATTCAAGTATCTTGTTCATTTTCTCTTTTAATTGTTTCAATATTTCATTTTCATTTTAATGATTTAACGAACTAACATGATAGAATTTAACCTAAGCATGAAAAAATCAGAATAAAAATCCAAAAATCAACAAGATTTTGAAATACAAAAAGCTTCAAATTTCAATCACATTCTAATAAAGTAATGCTCAGGAAACGAGCTTTTAACTTCCTCAACCCCTAAAGTACAACACTGTATATCTTTCTATTAGATTTTGATTATTAGTAACATAAGTTGAAATATACATGATATATAACAAAAACTTTTTACTAATCCTGGTTGGATTGGTCATCCGAAGATATGGGAATGGCAGGTTTAGCATCAACAAGCATCTTGACTACTTCTCTCATGGAGGGGCGCGAATTCGGGAGTTTGGCGGTGCAAAGGATACCGATCTTCAAGACTTTAACCATGTCGTCTCGGACGGTGACAGTTTCTGTGACTATTTTATCGTCAAGAACCTTGAGGACATTTTCATGGTGGTTGAAGTGAGTTAAAATCCAATGAACAAGATCATTCCCTTCTCCGTACTCCTCTCCAATGGCCGCTTTTCCGGTCACTAATTCCAATAACACTACTCCGAAACTATAGACGTCGCTTTTCCGAGTAATTTTTAGAGTATATACAAACTCTGCCATTGAAAGCAAAGCTTGAACAGTAAGATATACAAATTCGGCCATTTTGATTATTGTCAGATTTGGTTGGTTAAGTACTTCATTCGATTATCTTGATATAATCTATGTAAACTTTGAAACATGGCTAAACCAAGTGTTGTGAAACTCACCAGGAGCAATATAACCATAGGTGCCTGCAAAACAGCTCCATTCAGATCCCCTAAGAGATCTTTCTGCAATCTTTGCGACCCCGAAATCGGCAATCTTCGGCTCGAAATCCTTGTCGAGTAGAATGTTGGATGATTTTATATCCCTATGAATGGTAGGAGGGCAGCAATCATGGTGCAGATAAGAAATTCCCTTAGCAGCTCCTAAGGCGATCTTATATCTTTGATGCCAGTTCAATTCCGGCTTCCCGTCTCTTTTCACTCTTCGAAGTGCTTGAAACACGTTTCCGTTTTCCATGTATTCGAATACCAAATAGCTCGATCCACCTTTTGTCAGGCAAGCGTAGAGCTTCAGAATGTTTCGGTGCCGGATTTTGCCCAAAATTTCCATCTCTGCAGCCATTGCCTTGAGGCCTTCCCCTTTCCATAGTTGCTTCACAGCGACCACAATGCCTTTTTTCGTCAAATCCAGGCGATAAACTCTTCCGGAACTGCCTCTTCCAATTAGATTTTGTTCCTCTAGATCACATATTTCCTCGGCTTCGATATCCATGTTGTGAAAACATGCAAGTTCACATTTCGGACTTACCCTGTTGCCGCCTTCGATACTGTTCTCCATGTCTGCTTTAATGCGCTTGAAGTTCTTGTAACTCAGAAGCACTAGTCCAGCTAGAACTATAAACAAAACTACAGCTATAAAGATGAAGAAAACCGATTTATCCCTGAAGACTCTTTTCCGGCCCCAATCTTCCTTGCAAACATTGAGCAAAGTACTATTTCTCTGAATTTTAGTACTTTGGTCAATGCAGAGTCCTCCGTTACCGATAAATGCTTCATCTCCGCCGATGGTCAGGAGCTCATGAGGGACATTTCCGGATAACTGGTTATCAGATAAATCAATGGAACTTAGCTTCAGGTTTTTGAGGTTATTCGGAATCGGACCAGTAAGTTTGTTTCCCGAAAGGTTCAAAGAGTTCAAAGAGGGCATGAGTGAAACTGTAGGTGGGATAATGCCACTAAAATCATTACCAGCAAGATTCAAGTCCACCAACATAACGCAATTACCTAGTTCCGCCGGTATCGATCCGGTTATTGAGTTTTGTTCGAGATGCAACGATAATAGCTTCTTTAGAGCACCAATCTCAGCAGGTAGACTGCCAGAAAAGTTATTGTTATTCAAAAGAAGCTTCCCCAAGTTTGTCAACTTACCAAGGTCCGACGGAAGATTACTCGATAATCTATTGTTCTGCAAAACCAACTGACTCAAGTTAGTGGAAGATCCGATGTTGGCGGAGATGCCTCCGGTAAAGTCATTATCGCCGAGGTCGATTAGATTCACATGTGGAAGTGACCAAAGTCCATCTGCAACTTCTCCTGAAAAGTGGTTCTTGTTAATCCTGAGCCTTAGCAGAGATTTGCATTCAGCATATGTATCTGGAAACCGTCCCGTAAAGTTGTTTTCAAGAGCCAATAAAAGTGTTAGCTTTCTGCCTGCACACAAGAATCTGGGAAATTCACCTGAAAATCGATTCTCCGAAATGTCGAAAATTTCCAACGGTGAGAACCGGCCTAAATTGGCAGGAAATTGTCCAGAAAATCGGTTTTGGTAGATCGAGAACCCTTTAAGATGATGCATATCTCCAAATACTGCAGGGATCTCTCCAGAAAAGTTGTTTTGGTGACACTCAAACACAGTCAAATTTATGTTTCCAATCTCTTTCGGCAATGTCCCGTGCATGTGATTCGAGGAGATATCAATCTCTTCCAAGAGAGAAAGATGGGCTATTCCCGGTGGCAACTCCCCCGTCAGCTTGTTGTCGAACAGCTCAATCTGATGAATGTTCTTCAATTTCGAAATCGAGTTCGGTATAGTCCCAGAAATCTTGTTCCGTGACATATCTAAAACCTTCAAGGCCTGCAGCTCAAACAGGGACTCTGGAATCTGCCCTATCAGATTGGACTTTGGAAGGTACAAGTAATTCAAGTTCTTCAAATTCCCGATACTGTCCGGAAGCTCACCCTCGTCGAAATTGTTTCCGGCCAAACCGAGATAAAGCAGTCCAGTTAAGTTCCCTATCCAACTCGGAAACTGACCCGAAAACGTGTTAAACGACAATATAAGAGACTCCAAGTCCTTAAGCCCGGAAAGATCGGGGATAACTCCCACCATTTTGTTATGTGTCAAATTCAAAACTTTGAGATTTGAACAACGGCTTATTTCTTCAGGAAGTTCACCGGAAATGGCGTTCTGAGGCAAAGAAAGGTTTTGAAGACTTTGAAGCCTTGAAATGGAAGGTGAAATTTCACCGGAAAGTGATTTCCCGATGAGTGAAATCCCCGTGACATTGCCTGAAACAGGGTCACAAGTAACTCCATAGTATTTGCACGGAGAATCTGATTCTTTCCAAGAATCTAAGACGTGCAAAGGGTCTTTGAGCTTGTTTTTGAAGTGGAGAAGAGCTTCGGTTTCGACGTTAATGGCGGGACAAGGCGGGAAAACGGCAGAAACCATGATTGAAAACAACAGAAAACGGCAATACTGAGTGATGTTGAGGGCCATACTTGGCATTCAAGAAAAGAAATTGTTGAGCTATAAATCCAATGTTCACACCATGCCTCACTTGCTGGCAATACCTGAAAAAGAGAATTAAAGATCAATTTTTTTATTGAAACAACAACCCAAATCAGTTCAACTTTAAGTAGCTTTTTCCAAGGTTCCAATATCCCAATTCTTCAAACCCATATCTAATATTATTCTTTAAGCTACTATACTATGGATTAAATGGCATTAATTATTAAGAAAAAATCTCAAGGCCTTATCTTTCTCGAAAGAAATTTGGAAGAAAAAAAACAAAAATCCATAAACAGTTTGAAATTTGAATAGACATAAAGCAAACAATTTGGAAGTGAAAAAATGGTAGCTAGCAGACGTACTATGGGAAATTCAGGCAAGGGCAATACTGTTTTTTTTTTTTTTTTACTTTTTGTTTGGCTACTGAGAAAGTGAAGAATTCCCCACCGTTAACTAGTGTTTTAGCTTCCTAAGAAAACGATTACTTTCTCGAGAAAAGGCTACTCTTTTTTTTTCTTTTTGGGCTATTTGTTTGGAAGATTCTCACCGAAACTGAATTATCTAGAATCATGAAGAAGAACAAAGCAAGCGACTAGCTTCAGTTCCATTAAGCTAAATGCATGGATTTTATGGTTCCGAAAAGAAAAATGGAGAGAGAGAAAACCAGAAAGTTTGATTTGGTTTGATGATCTATTGATGGTAAATGAAAAGCCGGATTTTGGACTGGGAATTTTACAAAGAAATGCCGGTAGAAAACCAAGCTAAATGGCATTGAAATGAGAAGAAATATAAGTGATTGGAATTTGGAATGGTATTTTTTGAAAGCGAACAAAGGAGACAAAATTTGCTATGGGAAGAAGATTGGTTCAGTGGGGAGAGGTAAGCATCAATCGTTGTATCGATGCGTAAATCATTTGAGCGTTGATTGACCGAGTGGCATTGGTGGAACGTTCACTTCGACTTGATCCGGTTTTATTTTTAATTTGGGTAAACTATTATTATGGTAAGTGGGCTTTTAGGATATTTTTATTTTGATTATATAATTTTTAAATTTTAATTATAATTATAATTATTAAATTTTAAATTTACTTTTTCATTATAATTTACGTTAATTGATTTTAAAAAAAAATTGATGAGATACACTAAAGTTTTTTTCCTCAAAAAAGTTATAAGATTTTAAACTGACAACTATCGTAAAGGTCAAATTTTTATTAATAGAGTGATTATCAATTTTATAGTAGGAAGACTATGTTTGACTAAAAGATTAACACGGTTCAATTCAAGATGATTCAATAATCACTAGTCGTATATCATTACGTTTTTAGTTTTAATTGAGATTTGAGGAGGTTGAAAATATTCCCACGAGTTTAAATCGAATGAAATAAAAAGAAGAAGAATAATTTAATGATGTAATTGATTAGGATAAAAAACAGACTATTATCAATCATTCTATGATTTTTAATGTGCCATATGTTGGATTAAAAATTCATAATTATGGGACATCTTTTAATGTTTATCGTTATCATAAAATATGTCATATATTAAGTGAACAATTATGTTATAAAGTCATAAAGTATTAGAAGTGTCATGAAAATAAAAATGTAAATACTATTAAAGTTATATTTATAATTTTATGAGGGACAAAGTTATAAGCACAAACAATAATTAATCCTTAAATCAACTATATAAAGGGGTTATGATCCAAAAAAAATAAACAATCTCGTATTTACTCTTATACCGTCAGAGAGTTTATACTAAAGAAAACTCTATCTTCTTGGAAGATCACAACCAAATAAAGATTCAAGGATTTCAACCTATCGATTAATTCAAGTGAGTTTCCGCATCTAGTATTTATTCTTGATGATTTGATATGATTTGATCTTAGTTGTTTTTCATATTTATTATAATTTTTTCCTATCACCCTATTAACTGTCAATGATAATTTATTGGACGAGTGACCGGAATGAAAGGTCTTCTTAATGATAATGTTAATGATAATGAGATAAATAAAGGTTGTTTATGTTAGTGATCAAAGTAAAAGTGTCCTAACATTTACTGATTATTTGTGTAGTTTACTTTTAAATTACAAAATTAAATTGTTAGAATTAATTGGAATATCTCCTTCTCACTCCCATCGTGCCACCTGGCTTATCCTCGGATCACCAATTCCCTTATGCACTAAAACTTCAAGGGTTCCTTGGCAATTATCCCAAAGTCACCCATGCAATCACGTCCTACGAACAAAAGAGCCAATAATGCCCAAAATCTTCCAATAATTCTTTATCCTCAAGCGTGGAACCTAAAACTGTTACTACCCAAGTTTCATCGTGCTATGCTGTGCAAGTTACATGTTCTACCGTCCGTGTGGTACTTTTCAATATTATTCTTCATTCATGGGCAATTCAACATCGTATATTTCATTCAATCTTTGAATGCCAAATATGATATTATCCCCATTTTATAGTATTAACTGGAGATATTGCCGACAGTTTAGTTAGGGTTTAGCATGGGCGACGGGTGTCACTGTTCAGAAAGCAGTGCCGTCTCAAACTGCCCAACCATTTAAGGGTTTATCTATCCCACGCCGTTTTCACCTTTCGAGGTGGCCCAACCATTTGTATTTAAATAGTATTTGTAAATTACAATTGTGTGGAGAGATGCATGCAGGACCACAAGAGCAGCAGCGGAGAGGCCATTTTCACCTTTCGAGGTGGCTTCTTTTTACATCCCACGCAACACCAATACTCCATCCGTTGTAAAACTTTGACAAATCCTTTTCGTTGCTCTTGCTTTTCGTATTTAGATTATTCAAAGTGGAAACTTGAATTTCTATAGCAAGGTTTCGTCGGCATTGGGATTTTTTTTTATCTTAATCCCACCGCCTTACCTTTATCAAGATGTCTCGATTGAAGATTTGTTTCAATATCACACTGTAATTATATAAAAAAAAATATAATTATTGATTTAATAAATATACTCACGTATCGAAATTTATTTTAACTTTTTAGACATATTTAATCAGCATATTATAACTACATCAATGAAGAGAAAACATTTTGAATATCAATACAAAATATTAGTATAGATATATAAATTTATATATTAATTTACACGAAATAAATTTAAATACCAATATAATTAAATCACAAATTTAAGAGTTACTTATCTTTATGAGTTAATATATCATACATCAGATAATACGAAACTATATATGTTTATATACTATTACACAGTAAGATAATTATAATATGATTCATAACATAATACATTTTTTTAATATATTATGATTTATAATAATTAAATATATTTATATAATGTAATGTAAATTATAAGTGTCTTTGTCTATTTATTTAATGATTTAAATAGAGACTTACCCCTTTAAATTGAGAAAGACCACAAAATTGATTAGTTAGTTTTTAAAAATTAATTTAACATCTAAAATTTATGTTTATTACAAAATTTAAAATATTCAGTTTTCCTTACTTTTCCGTAACTTGCCGCAGGTAAATGTGAAAAAGAAAATAAAAATAATATTTGAAGAATTTCGTGGCTAATTTTCTGAAACGGTTGAAATGATATCTAAGGATATTCCAAGAGGAGACCCATTTTGTTCTTCTAGAATGACAAGCAAGTTGTCTTTGGGTTTGAGGAATGAAGCAGGTACATGATACCTACATACATAATGATATATTAGTATATAGTTTATTTGATTTCATATATATATATATATAACTAACATTAACCTTAGGTGTACATATTATGAAAGGTAATTGAGATGGATACATATCAAGTTTGATAAGGCGGTTCTTGAGGAGTAAGAAATCAAGCCCAATATCTGCCTATGCTTTCTCCATTAACCCATACCTCACCTTTTCCCATTGACCTAAGATTTAATCCAAGTGACACCTTCTCTGCTGGCGCATCAAATCTTGTCTGGGTCAAGATTAAATATTGGGAGGGTTAAGATATCCAAATCCAAAATAATAAAGATCTATTATGTATTTAATATAGAAAAAATGGGGGACAAAATTCTATTTTTATTTAAATTTAAACTAATAAGGACCTAAAATGCTATTAAACCAAAAATTACTGGAGGGGCAAGAGCCCCTCTCACTCTCTATGTAGTTCCGTCCGTGCTTGTCTGTGTCACATTATTTCCAAATCTTATCAGTGGTTCTATTCTATTAAAATATCAATAATCCAAGTTTACAAATCGTATTTCTTTTTCAATATTCTTTTAATAAGAACTGAATTTATGTGTGAATTTGAAAACACTTGAACCTAAAAGAAATTGCCAAAACAATAGTTATATACATACCTTGTACCATGTAAGGGGATTGCGAGAAGAACTCAGAGTTGTCCATTGAACTTTGCTGGGGCTTTGGTCCTTGTATATTTGTAGTTTCTCTCCTATCAGTCCAATCTATACAAATGTCAAAGTGTTGACCAAAATGCAAAATATAGTAAGCATTAGAAAATTGGAATACTCGAGGTATAAATTAAGGATATGATGTCATTAAATAAGATGAGGGGAATTTTTTAAATATTAAGATTTAAATTTTAAATTTATTGAACAGAAACGCTATACGAATCATTTGAGTTGAATTTTATATTTAAAGAGACAAATGTTAGTGGAGAGAGAATTTTCAATTATCAAGTAGAACTATTTACGGAAAAGATTATTTTCTTGTCTAAATTCAAATGGATTTAAAAGCCCTTTTCAATACTCAAATTAATATTAAAAATTATTTTTTATTAATATTATAAATTTTATATTTAGATTTAAATAAAAATGATTTCTTATTATTAAAATTAAATTTAAATTAGGGTTAGATTAAAATTGGGAAGATAAGAGTACCCGATAACCCTACCGGTAATTGGTCAAATCCGTTGATTTTTATATGTCATGAATCTTTACCCTCCGCGGCCCCCTGTTGCCCTTCTCTCTAGATAGACTCCTGAATCCTTTACATCAAATGCTAGACTTAGGTGGTGTTTATTTTTGCAGAGGTAAAAGGTCCGCAATCTGCGGACTACATCTGCAGGCATCTACAGCAGAAGAGGTTGACCAAAAGTCTGGAGTCTGCAAGAAGAAGACTGTTTGTTTTTTAACATATGCAGACTGCTAAAATAAACTGAAATATAAATAAACTGATTTTTTAAACTTAAAAGAGTTTTGCAATACTGAAATTTAAATAATTTTAGTTTTACAATACTTAAATTTAAATAATTCATACAACTACAATAATAATTTTTTTAGAAAAACAAACACCACCTTATTAATTCTATTATAAGTCTCACCTAATCACATGCATTATTAGTTTTATAAGTTTTATAGAATAAAATTTATAAATGATCATTAAATTATACGTTTTTTTTAAATATGCAATTATGTAATACTTTTAATTTTTTTAAATACATATTCATAATTTATTTTTAAAATTATATGATATTTTTAGAAAATATTTTTTAATTTATAAAATTATTTTATGATTATTTTTTTATTTAATTGTGATTATATTTTAAAATTTTAAAAACATAATTTATAATTTTTTATATTTTATATTTTAAAATCTTAATTATCAAACAATGAAATCATTTTTTATTAAGCAATGTGGTTTAAATACTTATATTTTGTATAAAAAGTTTAAATATAATTTAAAAATAACAAATCCAAAAAAAATATTATATTTAAACTTAAATAAAAATAATTAAAATAAATATAAAATTTTAATAATATATAAAATAATTTATATGATATAAAATTAAATATCTATAATATAATATTAAAAATTAATATTTATTTTATTTTAAAAAATAATATTAAAATTAATATCTATAATATAATATTTAAAAAATAATATTTAATTTATTTAAAAAATAATATTAAAATTAAAATCAAATATAATATAAAATTAAATATAAAACCTCTTTGAAGAGGTTAGAAGACGTCTGTAGACATAAGGCCACGTCTGCGCCGTGCAGGTCACGCGCAGACGTTAGAAGAGCTTCTGTCTTCTAAAAAAACAAATGGTCTGTGAAGCCCAATGTCTGCGCGGCGCAGACATAAGAGCTTTGCAGACCTTACACATTAGTCTTGGAAATCGAAAGTTGATAAACAAAGGTCAACTTGAGTTTAAAAATTTAAGGTTAAGTTTTATCATATAAAATTTAAATAACACTGTTATTCAATTTTAATTTTATCATTAATATTAATTACAATTTTTTAGATTAAACGTATTTTAACCCTTAAAATTATATATCATTATTTTTTTGGTATACTTTTTGTTTAATTTGATCTTTAGAATCTTGATATATATTTCTCCAACTCATGTTTTTGTTATAAAGTTTTTACGAAAAAGTGTCACGTGAAACATAAATGATAATGAATTGAGAAATAAAAGATTAAAGGCTTACCCGTAAACCAACCGTGACACTTGAAAGGGAGACGTTGTTACTGCCATTGGTTAATGAAATTGTGTTCTCTAGCCTGAAATTTGGCCTCTTATGATCTCCATGTGCGAATCCTAACAGATTAACATCCACTTAATGCTTATTTACTCGATGATAAAACAAGACAGCGAATCATGACTTCTTGATAGACTATTGGTAAAGTTTCTTTTAATTCCATGACTGAAATACAAATCTTTAAATTCATCTGTTTGCAATTAAAGTAGAAAGTAGACATACCAACTAAAACACCACTGACAAATGCATGCAAAACATGCCCAGCCGACTGCGCCTCAAGCACTGCTTTACTGTTTGATGATTCATGTTTTTTGCTCGGCAAATAAAATTTATTAATAATTAAACAAACCTAAGTTAAGAGCCTCATTAAAAACCTCTCTAACCTAAATGGAGGATAAGAGTACTCAAAACTAGGTTCAAGGAACAAAATAAAACTGATGTTAACAAAATCATAACAACGAGAATTCAATCCCAAATACCGGCCGAACTGCTTACCCTTACAGCACTAAAATGAAACTAACAAGAAACAGAACAACCACTTCTTGGATTGATCCTACATAATACTTAAAACGTGAGCCTCTACAAACCATCTTGCCGAAGAGTCATAGCCCGACTTAGAATCATACACAACAATAAAATCTGAAGCAACAAAACAAAGCAACCTGCACCATAGACAAAACCCCACAAGACACAAAATTCCAATCACCTTAGCGCACCAGCAAATTGTAATCAATTCAGCTAAGCACCAATTCCCCAAGATTCCTACAACCAAGCTGGAAGGAAAACAGAAATCTGCCGCACCAGCAACAATAAACAGTAGCGCAGCAGCCCTT